GTGTGGGAGGTGACACCTTACCGAATGCCTGCAGTGACACTGGCAGTCTGATGCATCATTTTTTCCACTAGTACGTAGGTGATAGCCCAAGAATTGTTTTACAGGTAACATTGACTAAGAACAGCAGCAGCACACATTCAGTGTGGCACTAAAAAGCAACACAATTGAAATGACAGTGTGTAGAAGCAGAGCATATAAATATACCTCAGAATATTAATAGGTCTTGTCTACGTAGAACGGGATTAGGACAAAGACATATGCACCAAGAGAAGAAACATAAGGACTATTTTTTCAGTGTCACATGACAGCTCTCCATCTTGCACTCCGTTGCAGCAGGCCTATTGATACACCAAACTGGCGCTGAATATCTGAGTACTCACTGAGCCCATAGTACCTACTGTGAATAAGCTGCAAGCTGGTTACTGTCACTTGAAATATAATAGGGAGTAATTTCTAGAAGTGACTGTGTCAACAGTTCTGCTGTTTCAGAGCAATAAGAGAGTGTATATGCATACACACTTCAGTTCCCTATGGCTTGCCTGGTTGTTCTGCTGCTGTGTTCCTAATGGGCTAGCAACTTGCCATTTAACTTGATGGATTAAACCAACTTCAGTGGAGAGGTACACTCTCATATCAGGCTCTTCCCTAAACTGGAGTAGAAGTGCTTGCACAAGAAGTTACAGACGTAAATTTAAGCAGCTGTCCCTCACTCTTACACGGCTGTTAGTCACTAGCTCTCTGCTTTGTTGTGGCATCTCACTAACCATCTGAAATGGCTCTCTTCTTCCGATACAGGCACGAACTTGGTGCAATATTAGGTGTGCTCTGTCTGAGCCTGGAACAGAGACTTTGATCAGAGTGTCATGTGGATGTGTCTTGTGTCATTAGCTTGGTCATCTTATGAATTCATAAAGTTTTACTTCAATTTCAAGTGAACAATATTCATCTATTTTTGCAATCTGTGGTCACTTAGGATTTCACTAAGAAATCACCCGAGAATGAAGGCTGCATATAGATGAAACAATAGATGAACTTTGATAGTTGCAAAGCAGAAGAATAGCATGCATGCAAAGTGAATAGTCAGCAGGGGATTGGCAGGAGTATGCAAGAGAAGCAAAGGTAATGCTGAAGTAGTCTTCGAGACTGCCTCCCCTGACAGAATTTATCTATGCTCGTTAAAACACCTGCCAGACCTAAACAAATAGCATTTGAGGTACATAATAAAGAAGCTAAGAACATTTTTCCCTAAAATTTTTTCCTTCCACCTCTTCTTGTTGGGCTTCCTTCACGAATGTAGTACCCTGGACACTTGGATGTTTCATCTAGGAACCATCTATATAGAAGAATTTCATTTGCAACTTCTGGATCTTGCCCACAGAGTGTCTTTGAAGGTACATTGTTCCAGGGGGCAGAGTAGAATTCGTATTAATAACTACATACCACCAGATAAAAGATTTGTTTGTTCTTCACATCTGTGGTAAACACAAGGTATTCTGTCTGGAACTGCGTAATTTCTTGAAGAGAAAGAAAAATTAGAAGAATTTTTTTCAAAAAAGAAATCTGAAGTCTGATGATGTTGTTACCTGAAAAGCAGCTGTCATGATGTTGGGGCCTGTTGCGATAGGACAAAGGGTAATGGTTTTAAACTAAAAGAAGGTAGATTTAGACTAGATATAAGGAAGAAACTTTAACAATGAGAGTGGTGAAACACTGGCACAGGTTGCCCAGAGAGCTGGTAGATGCCCCATCCCTGGAAACATTCAATGTCAGGTTGGATGGGGCTCTGAGCAACCTGCTCTAGTTGAAGGTGTCCCTGGTCACTGTAGGGGGGTTGGACTAGACGACCTTCAAAGGTCCCTTCCAACCCAAACGATTCTATTATTCTATGACATAGCTTCACTTGGATTCAGTTATATTACTGAAAAATTCCTGATGTAATCATATTTAACAAGAAAATGTGTATATTAACAATATAGCATAAATACTATATATTTGTAATTATTGTTAGAATGGTAAAAATCACATGAGTGCATGGCCTTTTCAGACTGAAATCTCCATTTCAGATACTTGCCATCTATCTGTGATTTCTGTATACTGCATAGTTTTTTGTTGTTTTGGGTTTTTTTTTTTCCCCCTCTGCCTTCCTGATTAATGTTATCTTTCTTTTCAAATTATTTTTTCCTTTTTCTCAGGAAACTTATAAATTTAACCAGGATTGGCATGGACCATATTGTCTGTGTGGGTGTATTGAGTTTTAAAAAAACATGGATCACAAAAGGAAAAGTGCAGGGGACGGGGGGTGAGTAATGTGGTCAGAACCTATTGAAGGCTAATGATGGATCTCTTCATGGGGGAAGGACTGGTATTTATAGCGTTGCACTCAGAGGATGGAGATAAAGCAGGCTCTGTTACTTCAGTCTATCAGGAGGCTACAGTTCTAGCCTATAGCAAAATTCACAAAAATAGTTATAAAACTGGTAGTATGTTTTACAGACTATCTTTTCTGGACTAGGTGTACCAAGAGGAGGTTGGGAAAACGGTTTTCAGGAACCTAAAGTATTAAAGTTATGTTCAAAGATATTTCAGGATCTTCTTAAGAACAGACTTTAGGCTTCAGTAAAGTATTTGAGGTGAGGCTAAACTTTAATCATTTGCTAATGTGTTTGGTAATATTTGAAGTCAATTAATGTGTATGATTTTTGTTTTTTGGATGTAGTTTAAATTTTGCAAATTGTTATTGATACTGCTAGAATAGAAATTATTCTGAAAGGTATTAAAGTTTCATTGAACTTCTGGCTGAAAAGATAATCTTTATTTATGATATTTGGCTCTGCTAAGTACTTTAGGTGTATCACTTAATATCAGCAAATATGAGATGTAATTTTGAAGTATGTAATATGAATGCATCTCATCAAATAAACTCATCTTGGTCTATAATTCACTGAAATGATAGATACTAGAAGAGAGATATATGCTGAATTGCAGCATTTCTTTTTCACAGTCTCAAGTAATGTCAACGTTATTATTAGAGCAAGATAAACAGAATAATATAAAGAATTAGAGGTACTTTAAAGCAGTCTAATCCTGTTAGATCATTCTTCTGTTTGGACTGTATTATTTCAGCTTTATTGTACAGAAAAGAATTGAACTTTAATGATGGCTCCTGCAATTTTAAATCTTGATTATATAAATTAAGCACGATACTTTATTTTGTGCCAATTTAACAGGATGTATCTCTTTACTCATTGCTAGATCAGCTGTTCCTATCACAGACAGGACTTTGGAACCCTGGCTAGCATTTAATTCTGACTCATTCATTTCTCTTCCAGTCTGAATTATGTAGGTTTGCAGAATTTTCTGATTCTTATGCTAACACTTATCATTGCAATATAGAAGATCTACTTGAAACATTCATTTTAAAAACAAAACAAAGGTCTATATCAGATTGTTCTGACTAGTGTTGTATCACAGGTTTCACTTGTGGTTTTTAATAGGCTATATCCTGCAGTTCTTGGTCAACTTCTCATTGGAGAATAGCTAGAAAATTAAAGTGAATGAACTATCGTCTATTCATCCTAGGTTATGCTTAATGTCTATTAACTGTACAGCACTTACAAGATACAATGCCATCTTTTCCATAGTAAGCTAGTTACAGTTAAAGAGAGAGATTAAATAAGCTCAAATTCATAGCCTTTATACTAGTGTACTTGTACGGTGAATTCACTTAGTTAAGTATTTTATGTCAGATTTACTCCAATGTAGAGGAGGAGACTTGTTGCATACTGAGGAACTCAAATTTGTGGAAAAAGAAACTACTGAACAATAACAGCCCCACAGTAAGCTGACTCAAATCATGCTGTAATAAAATAATGTCAATGCCTGAGACTACTATTTCTCTGTCACAGGTGTCTTATCAAGGATTTTGAAAAGCGTCCTTCAGTCACCCATCTTTTGGAGCATCCGTTTATTAAACAAGTACATGGTAAAGATATGTCTCTGCAAAAACAGCTGGCTGCGCTCATCCAAGAACAGCAGCAGCTAGGCTCTATAGGCAAAACAAGGTACTGTACAACATATATGCTGCAACTCTCCTTCCCCACTAATCCTCAAAGCACAAGGTGAAACTTCAAAAGCACATTTACTGTTTCAAATTCTCATACTAATGCATTGACTAGCAGTATTATTAGCAATAAGTGCTGCCTGCCATGTGAATGCAAGAGACATGTTTTCCCATTGATACTTTTTAAAGCTAATTTGATCAGCCATAATGCAACCTTCTCCTTGGCCGTCTTTCTCTGTTCTATATGTATTTGTTTTTGGCTCAGTCACAGACATGCTCATAATCCCAGAATGTTCTGGTTTGTGGAAATACATATGGGCATGATGAAAAATTATATCATATTTTGGTAGTAGATCTTTAAAAATACAACTGTGAACACTGAAATGACTACTAGAAAAGGGTAAGAACAGAACACTTTAAAGTTTGCTGTTTGATTAGATACTATTAGTAAGAAGGTGATTCAGTACTTAAAGTAATTGTTTTGCCTGTAATTTAATAGTACCTGCTATTTTTCATTCAGCCTAGTAATTAATTTTAAAATGTGCTTAAAAAGCAATGAATGTTTATCAGCAGCAGTGGGATTTTTTACTTTTGAGGCTGATGGTAAATATCAGTTCAGTTGTTGTCCAGAGGGTGGCAGAATTTCACTGTTTCAAAAGAGAATTAAATGCAAATGAACACACCTTCCCAAGCTCAGCAATCATTCTGTAATATGAAATTTGTCTAGAGTGAGATAAGCTCTGGACCATTATTATAAACAAACAGTTACTAATGTTGAGGATGAAAATTAAATGTCATGATTCGTAAGTCATAAACATGTATATACTTATATGCCATAAGACTCTGTAGTTAAAATGCTAAAAGCCCAAACAAAAATGTACAAGCTAAAACAAAGGAATAGCTGTAAGTACAGTTTCAAGGTGAAGATGACTTCTGTGGATTTGTTTGGGGTTGGTTTTTTTTTCCTTTTCTGGAAAAAATATACCAGGAACTGCTTACTGTGCGTGAGGGAGCTATGCCAGTGTTTCAGCAGAGGTTTCTGCTTTATCTAGCCTTCTAAGCAGACCTCCCCCATGTAACACCTCCCAGATTGGATTGCCTACAGCTGTGGGTTGGCTGGCCTGAAAGATATCAGTTTTCCCAGCTGTTGACCAAATAGAAGATGATCGTTGTGCTAAAGAGGAGCTCTGAAATGAATTCCTCGTGGTATTCCAATACATTCTTATGGGATCTGTCTCCATAATGCGGAATGAGAAGGAATCAAGACCAAGACAGCATTTCTTTCCTCGAGCCTTTCCATATATTAACTGGGAGTGCTGTGACAGTCAAGCTTCCACACTTTATGCTTATACATGACTGGAATGTAGGAAGGATTTTGCTTCCCAGCACCCCCAGTATGAATCAGCGCACACCTAAAGGACTTTAAACCTTTGTCCATCCTGTCACCACCTAACCCATCTTAAATATTTTGTTTGCCAAGGGTGATTATTTGCAACTTGTGTGCAGTAGTGCCTACAAATTGCAGTGGTGAAGGGAATTCTATTGCAATGGGTTTAGTCCTAATCTTATCCTCCCTACCAGTCTAAGTTCTTTTATTGTCCCTGATGCCGCCAAATTTACTTGGCCAATGAGTCCCAGGTTCCCTGTCCCAGGTTCCCTGTCCCAGGTTGTTATCTGGCCCATCTTTCCCAGCAGTCTCTCTTTGTTCTCCTGTTAAGTCAGCTGCTTGTGTCTTCTTCCTCTACCACTCCAATAGCTTCTGTTTCTAATCTCCACCTTCTTCAGCAAGTCCTAGTTGAGGTTCTTCTATTTTTCCAGCCATTTCTCTGTTCTTGGTATTCCTCCTCACCTGATAAGGTAGCTCACAGCCCTCTTGTTCTTTCTTATCACTGAATTCTTGTTTCCCAGGCCTGTTACATTTTCTCTTCTACTCTTAAAGCTTTAGTCTCAGCAGACTCTTTGTACCCATCTTGTTCTTTCCTGGACTCTTGGTTTGCTTTTAGCCATGCCTTTGAATTAGGTGGTTCTTCCTCTACTAGTGAATGGTAAGAGGAGAAACATGATTAGGCTGCTGGAGAAATAGTCATCTTTACCTTCACTTTGAAGCCAATGGGCCTGAAACTGCTATTAAAAAATGTATTTCTGATCGTTGTAGCATTATGCTATGGTATCCTTACTTGTTCTTTGAAGCACTAGCCCACTTTGATCAGAGTTGAGAACATGCTCAGTGAGGACAAAAATTTAGTCATCCTTTACCATTGAAATCTACAACATATTTTTCAGAATGTTGAAATGCTGATTTTCCAAAAATTTGAAACTTGATCAAATTGGTACGAACTTTAATGAGATTGCAAAAGCATATCCCTGCAAAATATCAACTCTGTGGGCCAGGCAGTTAATACTGAACTAGAAATGTTAAGTTTATTAGAAGAGAACCAGCCACCACGAGCATCTAATTATAATTTTCCCCAGAGGTTATACATAAAGAGCTTGGCTTTGTAATAGTGAGATAGTACCCCCTAGGAAAATTGGTACCAATTAAAAGCCAATTGGTACCAATTTTAAAACTCTGTAATGTATTTATAAAATAACTTTAAATACAGAATCTGATATGCAGAAGATGCAGACCAGATGGTACTGTAAAAAAATTTACTGGCATTCATTTGTGGTGATCTGTAGAAGTCTTCTGAATGTATAGTCACCACTTCAAAGTAAATAGGCCAATTAAAACCCACGTTGAGTAAAACCTTTCTATTATATCATTGGATATATGTGCATGCTTTTTCTGTTTATTGATATGCCCATGACAGGTACAATGAAATGTGGATTAATTCCCTGATGTTCAGAGATAAGGAAAAGTAGATGCTCTTTTTTAGGAGTACAGCAACACTACAGATCAATCATTTAAAAGATAAGTAAAAGAAAACATTCTCAGAGCACGGGCTGAAAATTTCCAGAAACTGGAAAACCATCAGGATGCTGGTGTTAACAGCATTTCTACTGTGAGGGAACCCAGGGAGTCACTGGTGATGACAACTGATCAGGAGGTATCTGGGGTTTGTCTCATTTGAAAGTTTTCTGGCATCAGTTCTTTGCATTTGCATCCTTTCATTCTTCACTGACTCAGCACCTGTGGTTTTTTTAATAGGATTCTTTTTCCAATTGAGCCATGCCTGTTTTTCCTATTTTGGGACATCATTTCAGGTCACTGTGCCGAAGACCAAGCCTGCAGACTAAAAATTCAGTACTCCTGATTTAGAGTATATGATGAAGAGATGTGGAGAGCTATCTAGCAGTTCACTGCTACTGAAAAGGAGAGAACTGGCTTCTTTCATTTTCCCATAGCTCCCAGGAACAAGCTCATCGTGCTGTTTTTATTGCAGCTCCAGTGATTGTCAAAACCTCCTGAGATAGAACTTCTAAACTAAGAGAAAAAACCTAAGCCAGCAGAAACACATAGATAATATTTTACCCTGTAAGTGATTTCAGAGGGGTGCCTCAACTGATACAGCTGAAGTAAAGGAAGGAATACTTCACATGACCAGGACTAAGGCAGAGAGGAGTAGAAAGAAGCAAGCTATCGGGTTTTGGCAGTATCATCTGGGTCAACCTCTGGAGCCACAGACTGAAACATCTCCTTAATTCAGTTTCTTTCATTCTTCATTCATAAATTTGTGTGCAGTGTAGCTAGGCTTAACTTCAGCACAGTCTTCATACCACTGAACTGAAGGGGCACTTCATTGTCCTTGCTGAGCTCGAAGGAGACCACTAATGCACACATTTGTTGCTATCATCAGTTTGTTGCTGACAAACATATTGTTGTCACTTTGCCATGAGATAACTTACTAGAAAGCTTTATAATCTATTATTTCCTTTAGGTTAGAAATTAATAATAAAAAGAAAAGGTTTATGCTAGTAAAAGATTACTTTCAAAATGAAAAATGGCATTAACAATTGCCTCTGCTTTTTTACTGAAAAAAGATGCTCTTTGAAACTTTTCCACCAGCTTTATTTTTCCCTAAATTATTTTCATCAGTGAGATGCAGATATCTCCTACCTTTACGCAAATAACTGTTTCCGGTTTCAGAAAACCAAGCCAGGATACCCCTCTTGCCACTCTTGTAATGAGGAAGAAGTTTCTTTTTTCATCTGTTGGCATCCTCTAGACTGAAATCCTTGAGTTTTGCCATGGTCTGGAGTGAAGCTGAAATTTCAGCATCAGCACTCCATTCCTGCATTGCCTGTTTCTTACACTCTCATGAAGAAAAATCTTGTGAGAAAGTCTGATGTCACAGCTGCATAAGGATGAGCTCTGGGTATAACCTTTATGTCTTCTTCATATCCTTTTATAAGCTATCAGTTAACTATGTGTATGTTTTGTCTGGTTTCTAACAATACCTGGGCATAAATGCTAATTAACAACAATATACTTTTCATTAACAGCTTTGCGATAGAAGCGGTTATATGAAGTTTAATTCTAAGAAATGTATTTGGTGTTAAGTAGCCCACTAGTTCTATTTTTATAAAAATTCTTTAATCCTTAAAAAATAGAGGTTAGTACGTCAGAACATTGTTTCACATATATTCGTTCCAGCAATGCTGAATTTTAATTTCCCATCTATTCTAAAGTCAAATACATCATTACTTTTTAACACATGGACACTGATTTGTAGTTCATCTTTGGAGCCAGAGCACTCTTATTCCCATCAATATATAACTGCCTCTATGTAGGAATGCAGGAAGCATTTCTTAGAATCAGAGAGGATGCTGTCACAGGCGCTCACTCAGGTTTTTTTGCTTTTTTCTTTTTTTTTTCTTCTTTGCCAATCCTGTACTCACACAAGCACTGTGAAATGCTTTCAGATTATTCAGATAGTGTCCTCATACACAATAACACTGTGAAAACAAGAAATGTAATTAATTCCTAAAGACTTGTACCTCGTGTAGCATTAAATTGCAGAACTGGAAAAATGTAGGAATCTAAGTTACAGTGAGGTGTGG